ACGCGGCCAATAATGATCCCAATAACGCTTCAAATTCTGTGGCTGCTGCAAACGTCACGCAACGGTCTCTTCCACTGTTTGGCGAGTTATCCCATTATTGGGCGGATTGAGGTTTTTCGGAACAAACTGGACTTCGTTGTCATTTTACCATTGTTGTAATTCCCTGCTGTAGTGACAACTACGCTCCTCTTGTATGATGACTGTCTCCAAAACAAGAGCGTTTTATGAACTGAAAAATGTAGTATGAAGGTGCGATGAGCAAATAAAGTAACTAAATAAAATAAAATTATAAAATAATAATTGTTTTTTTATATCCAGAATAGAAAATACGAAACTATTAACGAAGTCATTTCCCCATTAATCAACTGGTAACCGCCATTACTAATAATAATAATAATAATAATAATAATAATAATAATAATAATAATAATAATAATAATAATAATAATAATAATAATAGTAATAAGAATATTTGACATTCTCTAATGAGATTGAATTCTCCTTCGCAATCTCTGATTGGTTGAAGTGTAAAAGCCTTCAGTTATTTAAAGAGGGTGTACTGTCCATGTGGGTCATTCTCCATTCTGACGCTGAAAAGGTAGCATCTACTTCGAAAGCAGGAATAATATCCAACCGACCGAACGTACCAAGGCAACCCGGCTGAACCAGCAAATCAACCAGCAACTGTAGCAAACCGACCGAATGACGAGCAAGCGAGCCCTCTCCTTATTTTGGAAGCGAGAGTTCCCAGGCGAGCCCTCTGTCGTTTGATGGTAGCCAAGGCAACCCGACAGCACCAGCAAATCAGCCAAGCAACCAACCGACCCAACGACGAGCAAGCGAGACCTCTCCTTTTTCTGGAAGTGAGAGTCCCCAAGCGAGCCCTCTGTCGACGGTCACCAAGGCAACCACCGAGTACCGATCAGCAACCCAGCAGCCTACTACGATCGAGAACTTGGCACGGAAACCCCCCTTATTTGAATAAGTAGCGCAATCCAGCCAAATCTCGAGCAGGATGATGCCCAGTTACGACAAAAAATACACTGTTATTGTTATGATTGTTGTCAACAAATAGATATCAAAAGCTTCCGAAAATATTCACTAGGAGCGCTGTAATAAGCAGAAGAGTTTGTTCCATTACTAAGTGGGCCATGGTTTAATAATGTATTATCTATTTGTAACGTCAATAGCTGGGTCTTGTCTGTACACATTATTCCGGCCAATCGTAGCAAGATTAGCTAATAACTTTCGAATAAGTTAAAAATCCAGACCAACCTGCACAGATTTGAAAACTGCAGTCTTTAAGTGATCTGAAAGTAATTTTAGTGAAAAAACTCTGATAGGTATGACTGAAATCGGAAAGGTTATGACGAGAAAAAGTATTTTCAAAGAAATTGGTTGGTTGGTTGGTTGGTTGTCTTTATTAAAAAAAAAAATCAGCCTGACGATGGTTCATCTCCGGCTCAAAGAAATATGACCCAATTCCAGCCACTTAAAATAAAGTTAAAAGTTACAACAACTAAGAGAAAAAAACATCTTCCTCAGGACTGTAAAGACACTGCCAATTCCAATAAAGTCTTAAAATCACAGGCACATGCACATTGAGGATGCATTCCCTATTATCATCATTTTAGTTTGATAAACCTCTGTGAAATTTCTATGCTATATGCAGTCAGTCTAAGCTACTCTTATATTGATATTTATTTAAGCGTGACAGTCACTTCATTCAGTCATCAATGTGAAGGCCAAGGTCAGGGTTGGCAAATGTCATTTTCAATGAAAGATCTCACGCGATATTTACAGAGATACTCCTGTCACTATCATCAGATGAGAAAACGATGATAGAGATTTTTTTCAAAATCTCATCGAATTTTTCGTCATGACAAAACGTGACAGTGTTGTGATTATCGTAATTACTAGCTCATTTATTACTTTTAAAGTTACTTGTACCGAGAAAATCGTAATAATATATTCACTCTACCGATAACATACGGTTACATGTTTGAATTAATCTATATCAGTTACAAATGTAAATGTAAAAACCGTAATAGAATTATTCTCATGAGTGCTTGATCATTGGAAAATGACAAGAAAACGACTGATAGGTAGTTTCGTCTCGTGATAGTGAGAGGACCTGTTTTCTCATTCTCACATGACGGCGGTGATATTTACACTCTCTGGCCAAGGCAGAATTCATTATACTTCTATCCGGTTGTCACCGTATCATTCGCAGCCCATTTCCGTCCAACAACATTCATTACTAAGCACACTTGACCGATTTGTATTCGTGCAAAAATAAAATCCCAAATTATTATCCTCGGCAAATCCACACAATCTATCAAATTGCCTCCGGAACGATGACATAAAGAACCATTGCCATCACCACCATACCACCACATGACACAAATTATGGGACAATAAATCCTGCCAAACGATGTTCCAGAGGCCATCCAACAACGGTTGCCATTAATTCCCCGATATGCTCCGATGATGGTGGGGCCACTGCATTGTTGGTATACATTTTATTTTGTCGCAATCGCTCGCTCCACACTGATTATCATAAAGATGAACATGAGAATAAGCGATCACAGATTTATGAACAGAAAGCAATTCAATTTTCCTGCGGTGACTTTATCCCCATTTTAATGGATCCAAAAATTTATACTCATTAAAATGTCCGGCCAGCGTCGGGAAAACCATGGCACATTTGCCGGAATGAGGCCTTGTTTATCGGGGAGTATATCCTTATGCGCACGTCCTTGCCCTCTCGGTTGTTGTCCGAGTAGGTAACTGTACCCGGATTCCTTTGTTGCAGACTCTCGCGGCTGGGAATTGAGGACGTTTATTGTCGTAAAATATGTGTGCTTGATATGGATTTTATGAAGCACTCCCAAATCCGACGAGAGAGACACCACACAGAGAGTGAGAAGTATGTGGATGTGATCAAAGACCGAAAATGCGAAATTCGATATACTAGTGGCGAGAGTGCCCACCATAACCGATCAGCCTGCCATGCCAACCGACCACCAATAATATATAGAATGTGGCAACATTTGCGTACTACTGCCATCAAGCGGTTTGATGATTTTTTCAACTGTTGTTTGGGCTTCTGGCGCCACAGGAATAACAATATCAATGGTTCATAAAATATGCAAAATATACATTGTTGTCGACACGGCCGGGATTTAATGGTCGCTTTTGGCAGGATGCGTGCTCGTTGCTGCAGTGTGGTTGTAATGAAAAAAGTTTCCGACAATTTTACGAGGCAGAACAATTTTCGATTCAATTTAGCAGCATATCTTTAATGGGGGATAATTAATTTTAGTTGACATTACCGAAATATTATCGGAGAATGATTAATTTTGCGCAAAATGGAAGTTAAAGTTATTTGAGTAATTATTTGGCTGAGTGCCATGTGAAGGAACTATTAATTAGAGTTTGTTTTGAAGAGACCGACTCACCAGCTGTTTTGTATAGTTTTATCAATATAAGTCTCAAGTTAGGTATGAATTTTTGTTCAGTTTTCCATACATTTTTCCCGACCAACTTTCAAGTTCTCCCGCAAATCCACACCATAATCGAATTGGTTAAAATTTGGTACACTTGTGGTGACTCCAGTAAAGATCGATCGGCAGAGGAGAGTAGGGTGTTTTCAAGTTGATCCGCACTAATCGACATCTATGTTATGTTAGTTTTCCCTCGAATTATGTATTTATTTATTTATTTATTTATTTATTTTATTACTGGTCACTTATTATATTTTTAAATATTTTCTTCGACACATTAAAATCATACTGTACAAAAACTTCATTTAAACGGTGACCGAATGACCGAAGAGGGTGCGATTCGAAGGAAGCCGATTGAAATCATTGTGCCAGTTTGGTCTAGGAGGGACGTTGATTTGAAGGACAAACCTGGAAAAACATGAGGCAAATTTACTCATCGCTGAGTTCCTGCACTTTATGTGATTTATGAGTTAACTAAACTCAAATCTGAGTCGTTCTCATTCGCCGTGTATATGTAGGCATTTTACCTCAGGAGTGCATTATGGGCTGTTCTCCCATACTTGGCAAGCTCGTTGTTAGGACTTAGGAGGGAGATAGATCGAGCAAACAATCACATCGAAATACGGCAGGGAGACCCGAACAACAGCCTGTTCAATGGATTAATGAAAATGCTGAGGTTTTGACAGAACTATGCTGTGGCTACCACAGTATTTTACATATAATAGTCCAAATACAGTAGTGCCAAAAGCATGCTGTGGTGGGCTCAAAACTTGACCATCTAAATTGATCAATTGCTTATCGTGCAGAAAACACAAAATAATTTCATGATTTCAGAGTTGTCAAGTCAATTATGAGTTTGGTACGATACTTTAGTTAATAAGCTACCGAACGAAGGCAATGCGAACGCGTGATATAAAGGTTGCACAAAAACAAGAAGCAGTGTTAGACTTTTGACAATATCTCAACGATTGGTTCCTCTTTATCCAATCTTACGGTACGTACATAAAGGTGAATAAATTTGGAAGCCATCAGTAATAACAACATTCCGTTTGGTGCTAAACTGCGCTAGATTAAGAAATACTAAAAAGTTACGAATGACCCAAAGTGACTATAATAAAAAAAAAGTCTAAAGGGCTGAACACAATGATAGCGGCATAGCGGCATGCGCATATTTTACAATACACTGAAATCCGTTTGCAACCCACAATGAGCGTGTTGCGGCAAAAGCGGCATTGTACTAAAACGCGTTTTTTTTAACATTTTGGAAAAACGCGGTGCGGTTGAGCGGCAACCTGAGAAGTGCTCAATGTTTTCAGATTTATTTTTTGTAATTTTGAATTAACCAGAAACTTCAAGACGTGAACCAAATAATCATCAAGGTAGTAAGTAAGTAGTCAGAAAAATGATGGCCGCATCCGGACATGTTCTTGGTACCCCCGAGGAAGTGGTCAGATCGTTTTTGAACCAACACCGTCATGCGACACATCAAATTACATGAGTGTTGGTCTGCGAGAACAGTACCATCAGTTCATGGAGGAATACATCCGATTAGGGCATATGACGAAGATAGAGGAAACGGCTGATCTCGAAAAACGATGCTATCTGCCACATCATCCGGTAATTAAGGAGGCCAGCACCACAACTAAGGTCCGTGTGGTATTCGACGCGTCATGCAAGACGTCGTCCGGCGTTTCGCTCAATGACGCTCTGCTGGTGGGACCGATTGTACAGGAGGACTTACGATCTATCATGCTCCGGAGCCGCGTCAAGATAATCATGCTGGTAGCCGATGTAGAGAAGATGTTCCGGCAAAACTTTGTTCTACAGGTGGATAGGCCACTCCAATGCATTCTATGGCGTTTCGATCCGTCGGAGCCCGTCTGCGTGTTCGAGCTCATCACCGTCACATATGGGACAAAATCAGCGCCATTTCTCGCAACCCGTACATTGAATCAGCTGGCAGTGGACGAGGAAACCAATTACCCGTTGGCTGCAAGGGCAACCACCGAGGATACCTATATGGATGACGTCATCACGGGAGCAGATACCATAGAAAAGGCACGGGAGCTTCGGAAACAGCTCGATGAAATGATGTCAAGGGGAGGATTTCGGCTACGGAAATGGGCATCCAACCGTCCGGAGGTTTTGGAGGGAGTCCCAGAGGAAAATCTGGCGATCCCAAGCTCAGATGGGATAAACCTGGATCCAGACCCAATAGTCAAAACGCTAGGTTTGACCTGGATACCGAACACCGACCAACTGAAGTTCCAGTTCGATATTCCACCTTGGTCATCAGAACAATATCCATCCAAACGACAAGTCCTTTCAGTGATTGCCACACTCTTTGATCCTTTAGGACTTCTCGGCGCTGCTATCACCACAGCCAAGGTCATAATGCAGCTTCTGTGGAAGATAAGGAACGAGCAAGATCAGACATTGGATTGGGACCAGCCATTGCCTTCAACGGTGGGTGAGATGTGGAGAAAATACTACGACCAACTTCCTCTACTGAACGAGGTTCGAATCGATCGTTGTGTGGTCATTCCAGATGCAGAATTGATCGAGATTCATTGCTTTTCTGATGCTTCGAACAAGGCATTTGGTGCCTGTGTTTACGTACGGAGTCAAGATACAGAAGGCAGGATTAAGGTTCAGCTGTTATCCTCAAAATCCAAAGTGGCACCATTGAAGACGCAGTCCATACCAAGGTTGGAGCTGTGTGGTGCGCTTCTGTCGGCGCAGTTGTATGAAAAGGTTCGTGACGCAATCAGGATTCCCGCTCAGACGTTCTTCTGGGTCGATTCAACCTGTGTTCTGCGATGGATTCAAGCATCTCCAAACGTCTGGAGTACTTACGTCGGTAATAGAGTAGCAAAAATCCAGACTATCACCGAACCATCACAATGGCAACACGTTCCTGGCAAGGAGAATCCGGCGGATTTGATCTCCAGAGGAATTTCACCGAAGGACATCGTCGAAAATATCTTCTGGTGGGAGGGACCAGGTTTGTTGAAAGGGAATCCGGAGGAATGGCCTCATCCACCGAGTGAACTTTCTATGGAGGAAGTAGAGCAGGAAAGACGACGAACAACGATTGCTTGTGCAGTTACGGGGTATGCGGAGTTTAACGAATGGTTTTTGGGGAAGTATGAATCCTATACGAACCTCATTCGCCGAACTGCATACCGGCTGCGGCTAATGCGGCTACTGCAGAAAGAACCGAAAAACAGAGTTTCAACGGGCCTTTTGTCAACTAACGAGCTTAAGGAGGCAGAGTTCGTTCTACTTCGTCGCGTTCAGAAAGAAGTTTTCGCCGATGAATGGAAGGCACTTTCCAAGGGAGAAGCTATACCCAGGAAGTCTCCACTTAGATGGTTCAATCCGTATATTGCCGAGGATCAAGTCATCAGAGTTGGTGGACGGCTTGGGCACTCTGCTGAACGACATGATACGAAGCATCCGATAGTTCTTCCTGCGCGGCATAAACTTACCCGGATGATCCTCCAGCATTATCATCTGCAACTTCTTCACGCTGGTGCTCAATTGCTACTTGGTGCTGTTCGCTTACGGTTCTGGCCACTAGGTGGAAGAAACGTCGCTAGGAACATCGTCCACCAATGTATGAAGTGTTTTCGTGCCAAACCTTCACCAGTTCAACAGTTCATGGGGGAGCCGCCAGCACCACGAGTCACCGTGTCAAGGCCATTCTCGCAGACCGGTGTGGATTATTTTGGACCATTGTACGTAAGACTTGCACCCCGACGACCGGTAGTCAAGGTTTACGTAGCAATTTTCGTGTGTCTCTGCACGAAGGCAGTTCAGTTAGAGCTGGTGACTGACCTGAGCACTGATCGGTTCCTGCAAGCTTTACGTCGTTTCATCGGCAGACGAGGAAAATGTCAGGATATTTATTCCGACAATGGGACCAACTTCGTTGGAGCGAAAAGCAAGATGCAGGAGTTCTTAAAGCTGATTAGGAGTTCGGACCATTGCGAGAAGATTGTGAAGGAATGTGCTGAGGAAGGAATCCAATGGCATTTCAATCCACCCAGTGCTCCACATTTTGGAGGACTGTGGGAGGCGGCTGTTCGATCTGCCAAAAATCACCTTCTCAAGGTTGTTGGAGAAACTACGGCATCGGCAGAGGATCTCAATACGCTGCTTGTCCAAGTTGAAGCATGCCTCAACTCGAGACCACTCACAGCAATGTCCGATGATCCCAATGACTTGGAACCTCTTACACCAGCTCATTTTCTGATTGGTTCCTCATTACAAGCCCTGCCTGAACCGAACGTGGAGGATGTACCTATGAATCGTCTGAAACACTGGCAGTTGATGCAGCGGCTGCTGCAAGACTTCTGGAAACGATGGCGAAGGGAGTATTTGAGCCAGTTACAAGGAAGAATCAAGCGCTGGAAGCCACCGGTTAAGGTCGAGGTAGGAAGACTGGTAGTAGTACGCGATGAAAATCTACCTCCAATGAAATGGAAGATGGGGCGGATTCAACAGCTTCATCCAGGTGACGATGGAGTATTACGTGTAGTCACACTCAAAACGGCGACTGGAATGTTGAAACGTCCGGTGGAAAAGTTGTGTTTCTTGCCGGTTTCTGATACAACCACGAATCAGCAGTCGTCAGTTTAGATCAGCATCCTTTCCCTTCCTTTCCTTCCGAAGAGGATTTTGTTTCTTTTCAGAAATTAGGAGAATTTCAGGGTGGGTGAGGATGTTTACGAGTAGAATCATTCTCACCCCATCGAACTACAACCATGGCATCAGCTGTGAGCCCGCAATCGCAACAATAGGCTGCAGATATATGTATATTTATCACCATTGTCCCACGCGCTCAGCAACAACAGCAGTTGACCAACAGAACCACCGAGAGGAGAAACTAAAGCAGGGTCTTGCTTCGGTGGTAATGACGTCACCCGTATGATACTGCAGTGGGAATAATAATGCGGAAGATAACGGTTGATAAGAGAGCGGGAGCAAACTCTCATTTGGGCCCGAGAGAAGACATCGCATAGGTAGCGATCGCGGTCAGACGATGACCTTTTTTTATTATATACGGTAGAAACCTATCGACCACCGACCGTGTGTGGAGTCCGCGCGGGCAATTTTAATCTGTTTTTGTGTGTTAGAATTTAAGCCAATGTTTAGTTTTAAGGAATAAAAATCGTTGTTATTGTTTAAATAAATGTAGTGATGTAACTGTGGTTTCCATAATTCGTCGCGTGTGTAATTTAAGTGAAGAAAAAGGCCCTGTATGCAACTATAGGATAGCTGCTACATTCTTTGCATCTCCATCCACCGGCGAGTGTTGGGGAGCTTTCCAACAACCCACATCGAAGGCAGAGGTAATTTGGTTCCCCAACAATGAGAATTAAAAAATATGACCATTTTTGTCCATATTTAGTTCTGAAGACCACGTTGGCCAGATCCGGACGCGTTCTGGATACCCCCGGAGAAGTTAAACTTGGACCTACATCCTCATTTGACACATCAAACTACATGAGAATTCAAAAATAAGAACATTGGTGACCATATTAAGTACTGAGGACCACGCTGGCCAGACATGTTCCGGGTGCTCCCGGGGAGTTTCATAAATTTCCCGAAATTTTCCTGAGGCCAATGGAGTTCTTAGAAATTCTTTTCAGAACTACTCTGAAGATCTCCTCAGAACTACTCTGAAGTTCTCGTCAGAACTACTCTGAAGTTCTCCTTAAACTACTCTAGATCTTACATGAAGTTTTTAACATTTTCCTGAAATGTACGAAGTTGTCTGAATAATCTCTTGAAGATCTTTGAACTTTCCCGATATTCGGAATTTCTCTTAAGATATCGTTATTCCCCAAAGTTCTTTAAACTTCTCAATAAATTAGAGTTCTCTGGACTTCCCTAAAATTCATGAAGCTTTCCTTAAGCTCTCGAAGTTTTCCTAATATTCATAATTCTTCTACGAAGAGCTCTCGATATTTCCCCACGATTAATGGTACTTCTTCAAAGTGTTCCTAATTTTTTTGAAGTTAATGCAAATTCACAGACGATTACTGAACTTTGAAGAATTTCAAAGCCCCTTGGATATTTTTACAAGATTGATCAATTATTCAGAAGACCTTCTACTGATCAACTATTCAATCAGATAATCCCTCACATATTTCTTCCCTATGTCAGCGAAATCAGAGATTATTCAAATAACCGTATGACTTCATAACGATTTGCTAGTTTGAAGATCTCTAACTGATTGGAAGTGCATGAACTGACTCTGCTTATCAACAAAACCATACGAAAATCATGATAGTGTATACAATTTCCGATAAACGTGTACTTTTCAAAGATATCACAAAGCTCCATGATTAAAAGTATGTAAAAAGCTATTAATACAAGCGGTCTGATTATGTGCTGTATTACGGTGCTTTACGTGTTTTTCTTAATCCGAAATTAGTCCGCCCATTAAGTCAGTCGCCCAAACTCAAAATTACAATCAAAATTATCCCATTTTCGTGGTTTGTTTACGTACAGCATGCAGCACAAGAAGACAAATAAATAGATTTTGCGTGCATGCATTGTGGGTAGGAATGCGGCAAAGCGGCAGCGGTACAGCGTTTAGCGCAATTTTAGAACATTGCGCGTTTGCCGCTGTACCGCCCTTAAATGCGGGTTGTGCTTAATAGGCCGAAAATGGGGTAGTTAACCCTATATAGTGTAATTGTGCGTGAGCTCAAAGTTATGTCGTTTTCGTTTTTGCGGTGTAGCTACACCGGTGCTACACTGCCGTATACTGAAATAATTTAAGGTGTAGATATAGGATGCACCTTTGTTTACAAACAAATGATGTTGAACTGTAAAAGATTCGCGCTTATTCCTGCTTACACTACACCGGTGCTACACCGCAAAAACGAAAACGACATTAGAAAAATCGTTGTTGATTCAGGTTGCCGTGGGAGCGATGACATCATAGCCGTATTGAGACAAGGCCAACAAATCATTTGTTTTGGTATGGAGCCCACGTACGTTTTGATATAGCAAAACGTGAAGGTAGACAAACCCAAGATCGATGGTCAAACAGAAGAAGAAATAGGTGCGTTTTGCGGGTTTCGAAAATGTATAGTGTGTTGATCATTGACAGCAATAGAATTCTCCGTACGGCTGAGAACTTTTGTGGAAATCGAATTGATGGAAAATAATTCCTTTTTGCCATGTCGGGGTTAGTTTCTTGAGATGCAAGCTGATACCGATTTTGAACGAAACAAATTTTGGTTGTTCCAGAGTTTTCCCTTTCGGAACAAGTTGTAAGTGGACCCTACACGATTGCTTTTATTGACAATAATCGTATTGTCAATACATTCAATATTGACGTCAATACATCGGTATTGACAATATTTCTGTATTCACATCATCAATATTTTTGTCAATTCTATTCTATTCTATTATATTCTAGCACTATTTTATAATGTAATCTTCGAAATTCAATCGGTTTTAAACCCTGCCAGGGGCCACCTACCATCTTTTCGGGCCGTTCAATAAGGCGTCACAAAACCGTCCGATGGGCTGTATATAATATTGACATTTTCGAATCGAGATTTGGCTAGGTACCCCTCAGTACTTACCTTACCAATCAGGCTAAGGCCTTGTTGTCCTCTGCTGTCCGAAGAAGTCGTCTCCACTCTACTCGATCCATGGCCACAGTTCGCCAGCCTCGTAGTCTGCGAAGGGTCCGCAGGTCACCTTCTACTTGGTCGATCCACCTTGCCCGCTGCGCGCCTCTTCTTCTTGTTCCTGTTGGGTCGCTTTCTAGAACCATTTTCACTGGGTCGTCGTGCGGCATTCTTACGACGTGCCCAGCCCACCGTAGTCGCCCAATTTTTGTAATGTGGACGATGGATGGTTCTCCCAGCAGCTGGTGCAATTCGTGGTTCATTCGCCTCCTCCACGTTCCGTCATCCATCTGCACTCCACCGTAGATGGTACGCAACACCTTCCGTTCGAAAACACCAAGGGCGCGTTGGTCCTCCACGAGCATAGTCCAGGTCTCGTGGCCGTAAAGGACCACCGGTCTAATCAGCGTCTTGTAGACAGTCAACTTCGTGCGGCGGCGAATTTTATTCGACCGGAGCGTCCTCCGGAGTCCAAAGTAGGCACGATTCCCTGCTATAATGCGTCTTTGAATTTCTCTGCTGGTATCATTTTCGGCGGTCACCAGTGAGCCCAAATACACGAACTCCTCAGTACCCAACGCTGAAATTTTCAGAAGTACTATTTTATAAGGTAATCTTCAAAATACAACCAGTTTTAGACCCCGCCAGGGCCCGCCTACCCTCTTTTCGAGCCGTTGAATATGGCGTCACTAAAACGCTTGATGGGCTGTATATCACATTGATGTCAATGAAAAGCATTGGTGTATTCAGCAAAGTTGTATATTTTAGTGATGTCAACAATTTCTTAGAACATGATAAATTGATCAAATTTGAAAAAAGCACTAATTAACTTAAAAAACCAATTTTAAGGTAGTCTTAAAAGAAAATCAATTATAGCTCTACAGAGTTATGATGTAGAAATTTGGTGTCTTTAGCAAATGTTCATGAAATCAACTGCTCTGCAACTTTGTCCAAGACATGGAACCATTATCTCGTAACTGGAAAAAGTTAGAATTTGGATGTGTAATACTAGCTTAAATATTATTCAGGTGTGTATTTCAAAAGATGCGAGTTATAATTTTGAGCAACTTCTCCCAATACACCCAGTCTCTAAAACGTCGAAAAAGGGTAGAAAATATTTTTGACCGTCTTTATTCATATTCGTGCCACTGTGCGTCGTCCGGATTGATGTCTTTAGTTCCTTTGGCTGTATTTTCCTGCTGCGCTGGTGGATTAGGAATTTTGTTCACGGCTTGGACGTTTCCTCGAATCTGTTGATAACTGATTCCTAGGAATTCATGCGGTTGTTTGAGCCGGTGTTCGTTGTAAGATTATTTTGATGTTAGTAGTGTTGAGTGCTATTTCCTTCCTTAATTCACCCAGAGCTCTGCTTTGTTCTTCGGCCATCAACTGCATTACAGTGTTTGTGGATGAAATAGCCAGATGAAAACTAGCATTAGAGATCATTTTCGCGAACAGCTGGTAACAGAAAGCAATTGTATCACGAATGGATGATGTCTGATGAACACATTTCAGATGAAAAGAACGCGGGCACAATCAAAACAAACCGACTCGATTGCTGCTTCTGTGTTTGATTTCCTTCATGAGGATATCACAGATTTTGGGAAAAACCACCTCAGGAACCATCAAGAATCGTTGTTATTCAAATGACACCTATGCAGCGTTAGAAGATGTGCCCGATTTGTTGTAAAAACCACACGCGTTTTTCCGAAAAACGCATGAAAAATGCAAATTAGCACTGAGAAAAAACACATACCAATCGAATTGTTTACCTTTACAATACACAAGATTGATAATGCAAAAATAAACTCTAAGAACAATGCAAAATGCCAAAAAAAAAAAAACAAAGCATTTTGGAACCGGAAATCTCAGCGGTGATTATTAGCTAAATTTGGCAAAGTAAAACTCGCATACATAATGCGTGAGATTTGTGTTTTTGAGTATTTCCCAACAGGTGTTTGGATACGAAATACTGCAAACAAAAAT